CACTATGAGTCATACTCGTCTTAATAGCACCTAACAAGAACAATAAGATATGATAATATCATTTAAAAAGAAAGAGAAAGATAATACTATTTTAAAAAAGAAAGTGATGAGATAAATTCTAGGCAACTGAATGTACAAAGGAATCCTGACCTTTTTATTGCATTAATAAAGTTAAATTAATACTTAGAAAGGAGGGAGGGAAATGGCATGGGGATACAGAGGAATAAATCAACTGGAAAACAGAACATGAACCCTAAAAAAAAATCCCTCCACGCTGTCAAGTTGATGGTGATTCATGGCGACCCTCCACCAGATGTCAGAGACTGTAAATCTTTATGGGAGGAAACTGCCCATCTTTCTTATTCAGAAGAGCTGATAGGTACAAACCACAAAGCTTTTTGTCAGCAGTCCAACTAGCCACTACACCACTTCTTTTGTTGTTGTTTACTGTCAAGTCAGAACTGACCCATAGCTGACCCTCTGGCAGGTTTTCGAGGCAGTTAATTGCACGGGTGGAGACTGCCCATCTTTCTCCCGCACAGCAGCTAGTGGTGGCCTCAAACCACGTGCCTTTGGGATTGCAGGGTAGCTTCTTGCCACTAGGCCACCTTCTAAAGCTCCTTAAATGGAACAAGATCGTGTATGAAACCATAATATAATTTTACTTTTTGCCTCATGGATAATCAATGGCCTAGTGGCAAGAAGCTGCACTGCAATCCCGAAAGCACATGATTGGAGGGCACCAGCTGCTCCATGGGAGAAGGATGGGCAGTCTCCTCCCGTGTGATTCACTGCCTCTGAAAACCTGCTGGAGGGTCAGCTATGGGTCTGTTCCGACTCGGCAGCACACAATAACAATATAATTTAGTGAACAGTCCACCCTTTCCCCTGATTCATCAATCCACGTCTCCTAGATATAAAATACAAATGGATGCATGTATTTGTTTCTGGGTTTTCTATTCTATCCTACAACACCGTTTGTCTGTGGTCAGTAATATCTTTCAAACTTTTCTATTGCTTTAGAATCATTCTTTATGCTGAATAGGGCAAGTTGTCCATATTTATTCTTTTGCAGAATTGTTTAGACGATTTATGGCTCTTTGTGCAGCTACACACAGTAAGAAAGGGTTAGTCTGATTTTACTAAGAAAAAAAATCCTCTCGGGATGTTGACTGGGATTGCTCTTAATTTACAGATCATTAGAGAATAATGAAAAGTTTTAAACACAATGAATTTTCTATATGTTTGTGAACTAAAGAGGAAAGAAACAAAACAGTTTGGCCTGCCTGCATTTTCTATTTCCTCTTAAGTTGTTCATCTTTTATTTTCTTTCTACTCATCAATAAAGGTTTCTTTATAAAGATACATTAGTGCTAGATTTATTCCCAAATATCTAATGAAGTCTTTGTTGCGAGTATGAAAGGGGTGTTTCTTTTTTTCCTAACTTTAATGTCAGTGGATATACCAATTTCTTCTTGTACTATTGCTGTTAGATGCCAGTGAGTTGAGTCATAGTGACCCAATGAACATCAATTTCTTCTTTTCTGGTTAGTTAAGTCTAAAAAATTATTTTCTGGTTCAAAACTTTTAAAATATTCTACATTTTCTTCTTGAAGTTTTAGAGTTTTGTTTTCCATGTTTAATCCATCTGGTGTTGGTTTTTGTATATAGTATGAGGTAAGAGAGCCAATATGCTTTTTCCATATGCATAGTCAGTTGTTCCAGAACACTTATTAGACAGGATCTTCTTTCTTCAGCTGCTTTTGAGATGAAATCCTTTCTGATCTCTCTGACTTAGTTGCTCTTTGGACTTAAATTCTTGCTTCAAGTGGCCTGATGTAACATCCTAAGATTCAGCCTTTCCCCTGCCAAACCTACAATATCTATCAGTCTTCCAGCTTAGCTGAGTTCTTCTAGCAATCCTAAATCCATGATAATTTTATTTATTTTTTTAGATATAAAAATAATCACTTATGCCTGAGTCAAGGTGGGGGAAAGAAAACAGGTGTACTTCATGCTGATAGCTTAGAATTTCATTCTGCCCGAGTCAGCAGCACTGGCTTTCTCATCCTTGCTGGTATAATACCAACTGGACTAATATCTCAAATATGTGACAGTGGATTACATAGCAACTACTATCTCAGCCCAACTAAATTTAGAAGCAAAAATGAGTTTTCAAGAGAATGGGAATCTCTCTCCTTTTAATGATTTTCATTTGTATGCTCAAATTCCTTATGACTTATTTATTGATGATATAAATCTCAGCAGTAAGACACCGGTGGAGAAGAATCATCTCTATTCTCTAGGAAAAGAAATCACAGTTAAACACTTAAGTGGTCTAAACCATAAGAGTCAGTGTATTTAGCTATACAAGGTCCCAGAATTTAGCATACATATTTACGTGGATGTCGAATGCTTAAACTTAAGAATCTACTATTAAGAAATATAGTGATCAGATGAGAGTAAACATTAAGTCACAAAACTCAACTTTTGAAAGCTTCAGGACTTTCACCTTTCTGTAATCTTTAATTACAGGAAAGTTTATACATGACTCTAAAAGAGTGATAGAGATGAAAATCCTAATCATCTTGGAAGGGGTCACGCTCATGTCAGCTCTTCTGGGAAGAATTCCGTATTCCCTCCAAAAAAAAAGAAAGCATGAACATAGGAGATCAAGTTGCTCTCTTTATCCTCTCTTTTATTTTTTGGTTTTGAATATTTTATCATGTTTTAGGTGAAAGTTTACACAACAAACTATTGACACTAGTTACAATTCTAGTAATGTGTCCTCCTTATCACCATTCCTCAGCTCTTCCTTGTCTTCTTGTTTTTGTGTTATTGTTTATGTTAGTGCCAGCAAGCCAGTTTTAACTCATAACCATCCTGTGTGCAAGAGAATGGAACACGGTCTATTCCTGTGTTATTTGCGCATCATTATACTTGAGTCCACTGTCGAAGCCAATATATAAAACCATTTCATCGAGGGTCTTCCTCTTTTTTTGCTCCTCCTCTATCTTACCAAGCATGATATCTTTCTCTAGTAACTTGTCCCTCTAGTAACATGCCCAAATTATGTGAGACAATGTCTTACTATGTTCACTTCTAGGTATAATTCTAAAACAGATTTGTTTGTTCTTCTAGCAGTCTATGAATTATTTAACATTCCTTGCCAACACCAAAATGAAAAAGAATCCATTATTTTTCAGTCTTCTCTATTCATGGTTCATCTTTTGAATGCATATTAACTGATAGAAAACATGATCACTTCAATTATCTTAGTCCTTAAAGTGAGGTATTTGCTTTATAACATTTTAAAAAGGTTTTTTTATAGAAGGTTTTGCAGGAGATTTACCCAACGCCAACACATGTGATTTCTTCCTTTCTTTCTTCTCTCCCCCCCACCCCCACCTGACAAAGGCAAGGCTGGTGTGCCCAAATTTATTGAAAATATTACAGCACAGCAAACAGACTCAAATGGCTCCATGTGGTGTTTTGAAAATCATCCCAACTGTGGGCTGAGTGACCTGCAGGCTGGACAGATTGCCAAAGTCCAAGAGTTTCAGCATTTCCTTAGTGTCATGATCTACTTCAATGATCTCCTGATCCAGGGCTGAAACCTCTGGTACATAATTATCTCTCCTTTCTCTCTCCTCCTCCTGCAGCTTAATGGAGATGCCTCTCACAGGCCGTCTCTGAATCCGCTTCATCAGATATGTGACATAGCCTGCTATCTTGTTCCGGAGTTTCTTGCTGGGAATAATGGCGATCTCCTCGCACACGTGTTTGTTCGTGTGGAAGTCATTACCCAGGCGCATGCAGTATTTCTCAGTGATGACCCGGGCCACCTTCTTCATGGTCTTGGTGTGAACGCGGCCCATGTTGGCGGGTCCTTGGTGAAAGAGCATCATGTGATTTCTTGACTGCTGCTTCCATGGATGTGCACTGTGGATCCAAATAAAATGATATCTTTGACTTTAATTTTTTCTGTTTGTCATAGTGTTACTTATTAGTACACTTGCAAGGATTTTTGTTTTCTTTCATGTAAAATGCTGACTGTTGGATCTTGGATGGCTGACAGTTAAGAAGATGACAGTCCTTGCCGGTGTTACTGTTTACTTTACAGGTCAGGCTATTATTTGGTTGAAAAGTGACCTCTGCAAGTGGCTTTGGTTCCTGGTTAAAAGATATGACAGGGAGATAAGTCTCAAGGCTTCCTCTCTTTTGCACCAGTCCAGCAAGTCTGGTCTTGTTTTAGGAATCTGAGCTTTGTTCTGCATGTCCCCCCGCCCCGGGCCCTGCTGCTGTGTCCCTGGTCAGAACGACTGGTAGTGACAGCCAGACACCATCTAGTTCTGCGGGGCTCAGGTTGGAAGAGGCTGTGGTTCGTGGATGGGCCATTAATCCTGTGGAGCAATTTCTTCCTTGAGTCTTTGGCTTCCTTTCCTCTCTCTCATTCCCGTTGGGAATGACCCAGTATTTGTAGCTTAGATTCCTGACCTCAGTTATGATCCACATCCTCAGTTCTTCCTTCCTTCAGATAATCTGTATTGATGCTGAAGTGGGAAGGTACCATATTCATGTGCAAGGCAGTCCCACTTGATTTCATGTCTCATATGATGTGCACATGAAACACCTCCTCTGACTATGAGACCAAGCTGCTAACGTGTCCCTAAAGTCTGACTGATTAGCAAGACAAGAAGATGGACTGCAGTACATGGTCTTTCTAAAGCATTCTCAAAAGTATAAACCCTGATCTCCTGGCAAGAGGTAGAGAGAATGGTATTTATCTAGTCCTGTAACGATGGCACAAGTTCTCCGAGCGCTTAATTGTGGAATCCAGATATTTGAAGCAATAACCAAATGAGTAATCATGCTGTGCTGCTGTCTGTTCTCACAGGACTAGCTCTACCGATAAACAAATTTTATTTTATTAATTTGGCTTCCTGAGAAATAAATTCCAAAAGATGTCTAGTTTGGAGACCATGGTAGAGGATTCTTACCTCAGCAACCGCAGCTCTGCTAACAATGTGGGATTCTGCTGGGCCTTCTCAGGGGTGGGCTGGGAGGCCTGTTCATGCTCCAGTCGCAGACGCTGAATCTCCTGCAGGATCTCTCTGGGGTAGAGTGGATGCAAGAAAGATGTGTTTGTCATGTTTCACAACTCTTTCCTGCTCACCCATCTCACCTCCACTTGAAGCCATTACACCAGCAGTCACCCCCACCAGTCTTACAATGATGACTTCCAAATAATCAAAATGTGAACTAGCATTTTAATACTGTTTCACTTGGTATTTTCTCATAAAACAATTCTTTCCAATAACAACAAGAAAAGTAGGTGAGGGAAATGGAAGGAACTGGTGTGAAAAACAATGTATTCAAATTTTGTAAATAAACTAGTATAACATAAAAACCGACTCTTCTCAAAAAAATGTGAAGCATCTCCATGTACTGAATATGACACCTGGAATACTTTATTCATTGTTGTTGTTGCTTTTATGTGCCATTGAGTGTGACTCATAGTGACTCTATGAACAAAAGCCCTTAACCCAATTCTATAACTATTGTCATTTATCAAAGTTCATAGAGTTTCCAGAGGCATGTTGTTTAAGAAGTGGATGCCACTCCTTCTTACAAGCCTGTCTTAATCTGGGAGCTCCACCAAACACAGCTAACCATGTGTAAGCATTATGGCATTTGAGACAGCAATGGCACAGTGTTCAGTATCACAGAAATCCCAAATTTCTTCAGTACAGCAAATTGACAAAGCAGTGTTGGGACTTTATCCATAGAGAAAAGAATTCCTCCTAACCTCCAAATTTAAGTCCTGTGCTAACTTCTCCGGTCTCCCTGATTGGCAAATGGCTGCTGTTTCTTTTGTGTGTGTGTGTGTGTATACCATCGAATCAGATCCAACTGGTACAGGAGGAGATTGCCCCTCCTTTTCCAGTAGAGCATCTAGTGGATTCGAACTGTGTGTCTTCGGGATTGTAGTGCAGCTTCTTGCCACTATGCCTGATAGAGAACATTGTCTTTGCAATCATTTGCTATGCATCAGAGAGTTGGATAATGACTAGGGAGGATAGAAGGAGAATTGATGCCTTGGAGAGGGTTAAACTAGGCTGCTCCTTGGAGGCAAAGATTCTGAGGCTTCATCTGACATACTTTGGACATGTTGTCATGCTTGGGAGGGTGGAGGGACAGCACAGGAGGAGAAGACCCTCTATGAGGTGGATTGATTCAGTGACCGGGATAATGGGGATAGGTGTGTCACAGACAGCAAGACTGGCACAGGATAGGGCAGGGTTTAGAGCGGCTGTACATAGGGTCATTATGAGCTGCGGGGTGACTGAACGGCACATAACAACAACAATTCTTAACACATTAGTCCCGATCTCCTTGGGGGATTTCTACCTTTCAATGCATATGACATGCTGTCTGGTTTCCACCCTTTGAATGGTTTTAATATGAGAGTCTATATATAACACAGTAGGACAGAATAAGATGACTAGATACAACAAAAGGCTTCTGAGAAGTAAAGAAAACAATTGTGAGAAAGGGCCACACTGGAGGGTAGGAGAGATCACTAGGATAAAGTCTGCATCTGAGAACATACTGCAGGGTTTAGCCTACCGGGGGGGGGGGGGAGGGGAATAACAAGCAGATATAGACAGACTAGCATCTAGGTTATTTATTTGACTTGGGCTGGTCTATGTTCACTGAGGGAGGACCTTTCCTCTGTGGTCAACAGCCAACTAGTCTGCAAGGAAAATGAGAATCAGATGTGGAATTATTCTGGATTGGAGAAACTTCCTCAACCTTGACATTCTTACCTGTTTTTATTTTCCAGTTCTGCAATAAGCTGCCTCTGTTGTTTGTTGGCATCAAAGTTAAAGCTCAAGTCAGTGGGAGGACGGGTCTAAAGTGGAAAGAAAGATAGGATTTATGTATTTTCTTGAAATTTCTGTCTGATTAAGTAAAATCAGTGTTGGGCTGACAATTTTGTTAAGTGAGATTTTGGAGGCAAATTCATACATCATAACATTCAGTCATTTTTAAGTGCACAGTTCAGAGAATCTTAGTAAACATAAATGGTAAAGCAACCAATCATTATTGTCTGGTTTTGAAGGTTTTCTATTACCACCAAAAAAATGTTCCCTCACGTGTGTTTGCAGTCACCTGTTACTCCCACCTCCATCCAACCTTAGGTAATCACTAATTTCTTTCTTCTTTATTTGTTTCTTTTTTCCCTATTCCGGACACTCCACACAAATGCAACTAGGTAGCATATGATCTTCTGTGACTGGATTATTTTATTTAGCCTAAGGTTTTCCTTTTTATTTCCCTTCGTATTTTTTAATTGTGATTTTAATGAAAGTTTACAGTTAAGATGGATTTTCATTTATTCATTATTGCACATTTTCCTCCTTATACCCTCAGTTCACTTTAAAAAAAAATTCATTCATTGTTGCACAACTTCCACCTTCCTTCCCCGGTTCACTTTGCTAGGCACCTCTAATTCTGGACTACCGTCATACAAATAATGTCTCATTATATACCCTTTTTAAACAGTTCTTTCCTTCATCTACTCCAATGCAGTGCTCATTATTTATCCCCTCTTTTCTCAGCATGTTTTCAAGGTTCACTCATGCTGTGGGATGTCTTGTTCCTAAATTCTTCTTTATGACTGAGTAATATCCATTATATACATGTACTATGTTTTCATCACTGGACAGACAGGTTGTTTCCATTTTTTTAGGGGGGCTATAATGAATTATTCTGTGATGAACATCCACATTACAGTTTTTGTGTAGACATGTGTTTTCATTTGTCTTTGGTATATACCCTAAAGTAGAATTGTTGAGCTATACAATAACTTTTTTTTTAAATTTGGGGTAATTTATTGTACATAAACAGCCCAGTAGTACAACTTTCTTTTTTAAATTAAATGTTCTTTTATTAATTACTTTTAACGTAGCATATATATTTTTTCACAGTATATTCTTTCCATTTAATTTCCCCCCATTCATTTATTGTTGCACATTTTCCTCCCTGCCCACTCATCCCCTCTAGTTAGTTTTTCTCTTTGAAGAAAAAAAAATTTATTTCATTGTTATACAATCCACCCCGCCTCCCTGAGCCCACAGTCCATTTTAATATGCATTTCTTTTTATGTAATCTTATCATGAAAATATTACCAAATCCTATATTCCTTTTAAACAGTTCTCTCCCTCATCTGTTTGAATGCCATATACATTATTTATCCCATTTTCTTATTAACTTTTGAGCCAAGTGATCAGAAGAAGTTGTTTTCCAACGTGACTATACATTTCCTATTCTTACTAGAAGCTTATAGTTTGTCCACATCTTCAGCAATATTTGTTCTTGTTTATCTTTTTTATTATAGGCATCTTGAGTCGTAACTAACTCAATGGTATGTAACAGCAACAGGCAGCTCTGGTGGTGTAGTGTTATGAAGCTGTGCTGCAATCCTAAAGGCACATGGTTCGAATTCACGAGCTGCTCCAAGGGAGCAGGATGGGTAATCTCATTCCTTGAGAATTTACTGCCTCTGAAAACCTTCTAGAGAGGCAGTCATGGGTCAGTTCAGACTCAAGGGCACACAGCAACAGGTGTGAAGTGGTATCTCATTAGCATTTTGGTTTGTGTTTCTCTGATAACTAAGGAATAGGGAGCTCTGGTGGCCTAATCCATAGGGAGTTGCCCTACCGATCCAAAGATGGTGCTTCTCTGATGATCCCCAAACCAACAGCAACTCACAGGAGAAAGATAGGCAACCTCCTCTCACATGATTTACAGCCTCTAAAATCCTGCTAGAAGGCCACATGACTTGGTTCTGAATTTCTGGTAATACATGATGATGCTGAAGAGGTCTTCATATGCTTATTGGCCATCTGCATCACTTATTTGTAGACATCACTGTGGTCCACCCCCTCCTTAAACTTTCACTGAGATTTTTCAGTATCATTATCTCCTGTAAGAATTCATAGCAGCCAATCAACACAAAGTAAAAAAAAAAAAGGATGAGTTGGAATTGCTTCCTTTTATTGATAAACCAGAATGATGGTTCTCCAAGGTGTTTCTGTAATGATTATGCCTTCTTTTTTCCCCCTAGATACACACACACACACACACAAACATATATAAATATAATGTTGTTGTTATGTGCCATCAAGTCGCTTGTGACTCATAGCAACCCTATGTAAAACAGCCCTAAGCTCTGCTCTGTCCTGTGCCAATCTCATTGTCTCCGACACTCATCCTGATTGCCCCAGTCACTGAATCAATCCACCTCCCAGAGGGCCTTCCCCTCCTGCGCTGTCCCTCCACACTCCCAAGCATGATGTCCTTCTCCATGGACCGGTCTCTCCTTACAACATGACCAAAGTACGTCAGACGAAGCCTCAGAATCCTTGCCTCCAAGGAGCTGCTCAGTTTAATCCTCCCCAGGGTGAATCTGTTTGTTTTCTTAGCAGTCCATGGTACCCTCAACACTCTTCTCCAACACCAAAGCTCAAAAGCATCAATTCTCCTTCTATCCTCCCTGGTCACTGTTCAGCTCTCTGATGAGATATATATATATATATTTGCCTAAAATGTTCACAGGCATAATTCATTGACAATGGACATACACGTCACATTGTCACCTGCCCCTCTCTCCACCCATATTGTTTCACTATCATTAACTTTGATTCTCTGGCCCTTAAAGCTTTTGTCTGTGTTTTAGAGTTATTGCCATCTATTAAATCTCATAAAGTCAGTGCATTAAAAAGAGCATAATGTCCAAAGCAAACACTCTTCATTAAATGTGCTAACCTGTTATTTCATTTAAAGATGACTTCATGGAGTAGTTTTGGTTCCAGGCTTAAAAGTTATTTCTGGGCAATAGATTTGGGGATTCCTCTAGTTTCAATGTATTTGTTTAATGTAGTTTCCAAGAATTTGAAATTCTGTTCCACAATTTTCCACAAGTATTTTGGATACTTGATCAAAAAGTTCATTAATGGTCGTCAGACTCCACTGTTTTTCTGTTAATGGACACGGGCCAAATGTTACATTAGTTCCTGGGGGATACCAGATCTACAGTCTATCTTCTCCAAGTCCTGGGTCCTTTTTTCTCTGTTTTTCTAGGTGAACAGAAACCAATTATTGTATCTTGGTGGCTACTCACAGGGGTTTAAGAACTCTGACACAAATCGCTGACTTAGATGGTTGTGGTTGTTGTCCTTAGGTGCTGTCAAGTTGAGCACACCTTATAGCGACCTTCTGAACAGCTGACTTGAAGCTTGCCCTATTCTGTGCCATCCTCATCATCTCTGACACACTCAAACCCACTGCTGAAGTCACTGAGTCAACTGATCTTGTTGGGAGTCTTCCTCTCCCTCGCTGATCCTCCATCTTCCCAAGCAGGACATGGCAAAGCTTCGTCCTTCATACTTTGGAACCAGGCAAGGCTAATCCTCGGGAAAGGACATCATGCTCGGAGAGAAGGATTTAGATAGTAGAGCTCATTAACTCACTGCTGTCAAGGTGGAACCAACTCAGAGCTGACCCTTTACTGAGTTTCTGAGGCTATAAACTGTGTGAGAGAAGACCACCCATCCCTCTCCTGTGGAGCCACTGGTGGATTTGAACCACCACAGAGGCCTGGTCTTTAGGTTGGCAGCACAACTCCCTACACACTACCAGAGCGCCGGAAGGAGGGAGAGCAGAACTGCGCTGGGCTAACCGACTGAAGAATCTGCCTCACATTCTTGGTTCAGCTCAAAACATGATCTAATGTGGAACAGAAACCTTGTTTCCTGTCTAGAGCTTAAAGAGTCAATAAATAATTCTTTTCATGTGGTATTCCTAAAAAAAAGGGGGTGGGTGGGGTGGGTGGCAAAATAGCATAGTAAATCTGGATTGAAAGCTTTTCACCAAATTATCAAATATCTTTCTTTTTCTTTTTTAAAAAAAACCCTAAAGATGATTTTTCTTCTTTTAGAAGAGAGTCATCCCACAGCCAGCTGAGTAAATATTCTATATTTTATTTAGAGTCTTCTGACAGCCTGAGTTGAGCCTCAGAAATATGGTTTGCTTGGGGCTGAAGCTGTCAATGAATAATAGGTTTTCAATTCCTGAAAACTGGAGGTCAAACTAATGGCTTCTCCTTAGAGTGGAGAAAGGGGAACTCTGGGGATGAGAAAATGAGCACTAAAAGAAATCTGCCTCCAATGGTGACAAAGAGACAGAATCCTATGGCAATGGCGTTACCTGTGGTAAAGTTTTACTGACGTCTCGGAATAGTTTTTTTAGTTTTAAGTTTATTACTGAAGTTCTGAGGCATCTTTCAGAGAAGAGGGATAATTAAGGAATAAAAAAAATGCAGTCAAAGAAGCACCTAAATATACAAGGTTCTGTGGGCCATGAAACACTGGGAGGAAGATTCAGAACCTGAGGCGGCAGTTCCTCCAGGGGCCACCTGCGTCCTCACAGGGCTGTGTTCGCACACTTGAACACAACAAGGAGACCTGGCCAGGGATGAGTGTTTAATGAAAGCTTCCTTCATCCAAGCAAACATACAGCCACATTTCAAAAACATTCAAGAGTACATTAAAGAAGAAACGAAGATTTTACTCATTTCCTAAAACTACCCTAAATGCCATGTTGTTGTTGTTGCTTGCCATCGAGTTGGAAGGACCCACAGCTGACACCCAGTGGGTTTTCAAAGGCAATTATTGTATAGAAGGAGATTACCCATTCATCTCCCGCATAGCATTTGGTGGATTCGAACTGCGAGCCTTTGGGATTGCAGTGCAGTTTCTTACCACTAGGCCACTAAAGCTCCCCTTGAACACCATGTTGTTATTGTTGAGTGCCGTTGAGTTGCAGGTGACTCATAGCGACCCAATGAAT